TGGACCCAAAGTGCATTCAGCAATCAATTTGCTCAGCAGACCGATGCAACTTTTCATTTGATGATCAAAAATGGGGGGAGTTGAGCATCAGACAGGAGGCTCGAGTACCCAGAGAAGGAGCTACGACACAAGGTTTGAGGCTGGAGAATTATGAAGTCTTGAGACAAGGTTTCGCTACCTCATGAAGATATCCTTTATTTGTCCCACACTGGGGAAATTTAATGAACGTCGCAGTCCGTCGAGAAGTTTTGGACCAGTCTGAAGACAAAGTGGGCGGTCTCAGCACGCCGTTGTGACGGCTAGTGCTGAAACATGCAACGCGGTTTAAGCGAGTCCAAAAAGAAGTTTCCCCCATCGATGTTTGAAGTGCACTTGAACGATGGCAAACTTTGGAGTGAAAGCGGCGTGGCGAACGTCTGAGCTCGCCTACCAGTCGTTCTCCTGCTCGAAGTAGCAGACGGAGATGAGTCGCGAGCCGCTTCCCACGGCAAATTTATTCTCCCGCGGCGACCACTTGACGCAGCGCGCCGCCCGGTTGATGCGCAGGATGACCAGGGTGGGCTTCCAGGCGCCCTCCTTCAGGGTCCACACGTAGGCGTTGCGGTCGGCGCCGCACGTCACGATGCGGTTGCTGTCGGGCGCCCAGTCCACGCCTAGCGAGGGGGGGGGAGAGAGACGCAGCGGTCACCGCGTGCCGCCCGCCCGGCGAGTGGCCGCATCCTCACCTGTCACTTGACCGTTGTGCTCTTTGAGCTCGTGGATCCTGGTCCATTTGGCCCCGTCCTTCTTGTAGATGTGGACCTCGTGGTTGTTGGGGCAGATGGCCACTTCTGCAAGGGCGGACACAGCAAATGTCCCAAGACATGAAAAAGGCATGACGACCAGCGTTCGAGGATGAACTGTGTTGTGCCGTTGCCGTTGCCTTGGGAGCCAATTGCAGCATGCCAACTCTTTCCACAATTTGTTCTCTGGTCCTCGCACGCACGCACGCACGCACGCACGCACGCACACTCGCAGTGTGATGAACACAAATGTCAGAGGACACGGAAACTCACGGGTGCCATCTTTGTTCCAGGCGTGGCAGCTAATTGGTTCCAACAGGAAGCTGTGGAAGGCCATGGCCAATCAGAAAAGACGACACTGGATGCCAAGCAGGAAGTGGCGGAGAAATCTGTTTGGGAAACACAAACACGCACGCAAATGAAGAGAAAATACAATTTCATTTTTGTAGGATTCAGCGACCTCCTTCAAAAACCAAGACTTCATGCTGAGAATATTCCACCCACCCAAAAAAATACTACTTTGCTCTCGTAATATTCTAAGTTTGCTGCTGTAAATTGTGAATTTCTCCATAGCGAGACAAATACAGGCTTTCTTATCTTTAAAAAAAAAAAAGACTTAATATATGCATATTTTAATTTGTGCTGTCAGTTTAACGCGTTATTATCGTCATTAATTTAAAAAATTTTTAACGCGATTAATTTTTTTATCGCGAGATTGATGCGGCACCACGTCACGGATGTTACGTTGCTCTAAAAGAATAAAATGTGCACCAAGTTTGAATAACTGCTCCAAGTGAAAAATGTTAATGTAAAATTGAAAGTCGAAATTGTTTGTTTCAGTCAATATTTGCATTTTACACAAAGAAAACAGATCCATGATTCCATGTCGATGAGAACATTAAAATGGGAAAAAATTGAGAAAAAGAAATCAAAGGAAATTTAGAATAGATAAAAATCTGTGATTAATTATGGCTAATTCGGAGTTAACTCTGAAATTGTCCATTTGATCGCAATTAAATATTTTCATCGTTTGACAGCACTAATTTTAATAAATAAACTGGTTGCAGCAACAATGGCCTATCAGAGGACAGGGGCAAATGCAAATCAGGAAGTTGCGTGAGGAGGAGGAACTTGGAGAGCAAGCAGACACATAACGGTCACAAAGAAAAACGGAAGTTGGAATGCTTAACACGGGAAGCTTCTCAAAACTGAAAAAAAGTCCCTTCGGTGGGGGGGGTGCAAATCTAATCCGAGGAAGCTGTTAATGTGAACCAGACTGGCCGAGTCATGACAAAAGAATGATGCAGTTCTAAGACTCGAATGCCCCAACCAACAAAATGTTGTCCACGCACAGAGGAAATCGATTCAGTTGACTTCATTCTCAAAATGGCAAGTTTTTTTTCCTTGATAAAAAAAATACAACTTCATTGTAGTCTGCGTTTTATGTGCCAATTTTTGACCCGCTGTTTCCTTTGAGGAAGACGCCAATCATTGTCACATATCAGAATTACGGTATAATTGAAAAATGTGTGTGAGAGAAGTCAATGGGGGCCAAAATAGTCCTCGGGATGGGAGTATGTTGGTGATGAAAATCCCCTTTTTCCCCATTGCAGTTGTAGACATGAAGTCATTTTACAGAACGGCTTGTTAAAAGCTCCGTGGCAAACATTCAGCCCATTAACCTGAAAACTCAACATGTGTGGACCGTGGAAGAAAAAGAAACGGCGAAAAAAAATGACAATTTGGGTAAAACTGTGGGTTAAGCGATTTTTAAAAATGCTTCAAAATGTACAATACAGTACAGTGCTGGAGGAACTTTGCCAGAGCAGCACGGACTTCTGATGGTGCTATAGCGCCCCCTAGCCCCCGTGTAGCGCCGTGACCGGGGACAAGATTAGAATCGTTTGGGAATTGTCATTATATATAGCTTCTACGTTACTTTGAACAAACTTGTTGGCTTTAATTCTTTTTCATTTAAAAAAAAACAACAACTTTATTTTAGTCTAATTTACAAATTCTCAAACGTCAGTTTTGCCCTCCTCCTTTTGTACGGACGTACGAAGCAAATACATATAAAATGAAGAGCTAGCGTTTATTATTTGTCAAAGACGAAACGAATGTCATTTTCTCTGTAATTTGTGAATTATAATATTACGAGGCGTACTTTCGTTTAGTTTACAGCTTTTAAAAGCATTTTCGTTCTTCATGAAAACGTTTTGTTTTTTTTTTAATTGGACTGTAGTTGTAGTTATTTCGTTCGCTTTGTTCACTGCGGGAACCTGAGTGGGTGATCGGGGGTCCCATGATTTATGGGGGATAGGTTCCCCTCCCCTGTACAGCCGTTGTCAACTATTTTCAAAGAAAAAAAAATACAACTGCATTTTCGTAGCATCCGGCTTTTGTTTCAGTTAAACAACCTCCCTTCACGTGCTATTACACGGCAGTAAGATTGGAACCTCCAACCGACCAACAATGTCCCGTTAACCCTAAACAGGAAGTGAGCTCTGCGGCGACTTGACGAAACTAGACCCAAAGTTGCCACTTCTTCCATTCGAAGTCTACACAGTGCATATTTCCCATGTCCTCGTCTGCGTCTCACTCAACATTCCCAGTCAAAGCATTTTTTTTTTTGCGACTCACCCGAAGGGAAGCAGTAGACGTTGGGGGGGGCTTGAGGTGGTGAAGGTGGTTCTCTGCTTCGCGGACTCTGGCCAGTCAACACGAACGCCAACGTCGAAATTGAAGCTGCAGAGACTGCGAGGCGAGAGAGAAAAAAAAAGAGAGCGAGTGGGAGGGGAGGAAACAGGAAGTTGAAAGCGAGCTAGAAAATGAGGTGCGGAGCTTGAGTGTGTGTGTGTGTGTGTGGGGGGGGGGGGGGCGAAAAAAACTTGTGGA